CATTCTCAATTTTTCTTATCTACGAATGGAACAGTGTGGATATTTTTAACACTTGATGTTTTGAAAGTAAAGCAGAATTCTTAATCATTTGCAATTTGTTTAGAATTTGGGAGGCCATTTGATGACATCCAACAAACACCTCACGGAAGAAAAGGCCGTGCACATCCGAGTGAAACACCTCAATGCTCTGACGACATTTGAGAACAGTGCAGAGTGTGGCGTCATTTGGAACAACTTCCGTTTGCGTCTTGTTGATGTCAACTTTTACGATCTGAAGGCGGCTGTCTCCCATACATTTTCAACAAGAATGGGACAACCTCTTAATCGTTAGGCCAATGCATCCATATTAAAACTTCCACTTTACACAAAATTAGCATTGCGAAGCGAGCCATTACCTAGCTGTGTTTATAAAAATCTGCGTTCTCTTCTCTCCCATATAGAGATTTTAACCTTTCTGGAAAAATAGACATGCTTGCAAAGGCGATCTTGAATGTCCTATTTTTATCAATATACGTTCTCTTCCACTGTCACGTCATTGTGATTTCGGCGGATGCATGCATGGCTGGATTTATGAGCAGTGTATATTATTGAGGTTAACTCTACACTTTTTTGGATTCAATAGATTATAAAGCTAGGCATGATAAGGAGTTTTTGTTTGCAAGTAAGCTCTGCATGCAGAAACGTACGCGGGTAACAAAGAACACGTGTACGTGATCGTCAGTTGTGTATGATTAAAAGAAAGTAAGCAATGTTGGAAAGTAATAAGGCCTGCCGATTAAGTATCTTAAATTATCATTGACTAAGTTTTGAGCCTGCTCACTAATCCTTCAAGGTATATCCAAATTGAAAATCCTTGTGGGCGTATCAAAAAGTAATAAACACCTAGGCCACGGATACTTTGCCGCTTCTGTTATATAAACAGAGGGATAAAGGACAGGCGACTGTGTTTGCGATTTTGGCACACACGTCCGAGTTGCGATAAATTTAGGTGTAAATCATGACTGCGCCAAACCACCTATTAATTTGATGATGGTTGCCTTCTTTGAAATGTAGTTATTGATGTAGCATCTAACTATTTTAAAAACATTGTCTTTTTGTGACCGACCTGAATTCTGAAATGTTTTAGATTGGAAAGTATTGCTTAGGTTGGGTTGTAATATTGAATATCACGCGGCACAATCCTTTAATATTTCGGAATTTACATAATGTCGCCCATTATAATATACTGTTTTTTAATCCCTTTTTGAATCTTTATTAGATAAAGAATTACTCTGTAAGGAGCAGACATTTTTCCAATTGATTTTTGAGTTTCTTGTAAATTAGGACATATTGCCTAAAAACTCAAGCAACAATATGTTACCTTTCAGTCGTTTGATAGAGAATCACGCCATCTTTAAATTTTATCCTCAAAGAGTGATTATAATGCAGTTTCAAAAACGTTTTTTCAAATCCTGAATATGTCGGAGCCTAATTAGTCGTTGTGTTTGCGTTCATTAATTTCAGTCTGCAAGGTGCATGTGCTCGGCTTAAGAAACATGACATTTTATTCGTTTCTTTTGAAAAAAGATACCGTACATAGTCCATGGAATTTTACAATGGATGCTGCCCATGTTGTACTTTTCACAAGCAACAGTGGTAAACGGAGAGCTGCGACGCTGTTTCAAAGGCCATTGCACGGCTCCAGCAAATCTCATTATTACAAATCTGTTTTTTACAAATCTAATTTTACTTCCTCTAGCATTGTCCTCTATCAAACGACTGAAATAAAGGCGTATTTTAGCGACTTAAATAAAATATATTTAAATTTATTAGACCATCGAAAGTAAGTGGAAAAAAATACACGTTAATTAAGCAGTCAGTTTTGCTAACAAGTATGGTTTAAGCAGGTGATTGAAAAGCAGTGAATCAAAAACCTATTATCCTGCCGAGTCCGGAATACTATACAACAATGCCAAACTCAACCTAAGTAAACCTTTTTAATTGGAAAGACATTTCAGAATTTTAGATGACATTTCCTGAGATCGGTCACTAACTGTTTATATTTTCTGGCAACATGAAAATAAGGGAGCATTTTTAAGCCCCTTTTTGCTGAATTCAAATAAGCAGAAAGATAATTACTGTTTTGGAGAGCACGTTAATTTATTATTGGCAGTTAATGTCAGACGGCAATTATCATCATCAATTAATGCAAACACGTTTTCATCGCTGGCTTCTAATATTTTGATCAAGAGAAATCCTGCTATGTATTCGTGTACACATGAAATTCATAATTGGTATAGATGTGCTACCGGGAAAACCGAAGCTGTTAAGCGTTGAAATGATATCGAGGGAGTGTTTACCTCGAGTTAAGGGGGTCGATGAGTACACTTTAAAGTGAAAGTGTAAGAAGTACATTGGAATACGTTTACGCAATATGAAAATTTCTGAAATTAGGCCGAGGTAAAAACTGCAAATTATAACGTCCGCACGTCAAAATTGTACTGACCCGTTAATGTCACGCCATTCATATTTATCATATATATACATCCATTGATATCGATTATTTAGAGTTCACTGCAACCTCAAAGCACATTCGCCTACTTTTTGCTGTTCGTTGGTTGCAAAACATATCATCGTAGGTCACAGGCTCGTCGCAAGTCAGACAAAACCCAAATACGCGTTTGGATAAGCAAATTCAGATTTACCAATCCCACAAGATGGTGTACATGCGTTCAAGCATTAAAGACCCCGGGCAAGCAAGGTACGTTAACAGATGTTTCCATTTATTATAAACACAATGAGTTTAACATGTAATTGTAAACTCAAAGAGCAATTGGGTGTTCGGGTCGGATGCAACACTAGCCGAGAATTAGAAAGGTTCTCCCAACGGAAGATTTATTTGCAGGTGTTCGATTGTATGTATTTTATAGGGCTGTCAAAATTCAAGTCCGGAAATGGATGCCTCACAAATAGTGATTTTCTAATAAGAAGTGGTTTGCAGCAATCTGCTAGAAGTTCCTCCACAAGACATCAATCTAGAATGCTTGAGCTACCAGCGGTTGTCCTATGTGAAGTTCAGTACTACAAACCCGCCTAGGCAGTTCATTTTTTAAAGGTGCATATGACGATGCTGATTTGAATTATGCGAAACAGGCTACCTACTTCAATCATCACCCTAAGTAACTTAGTCTTAACATCAAAGACGTTCGTGTCTCTTGATTGACAGCTACAACTTATTTTTATAGTTTACCTTCACAAAATCGTTTTGTTTGGCTTTCGGACATTAGGTATGACTAATGGTCATGCTATTATATTGAGGATAAAGGAATCCTTAATGTGAAGTGTCTATTTGATAAATTGATCTTAGACGTGGTTAGGATCAGTAATAAGTTTGCGATGTCAAAACGAGCGGTAAAAGTATGTCTGGGCTTTTAGTGCGCAAACTGCATTAAGCGATACAGAATATTATTTTTTTCCTTCGTATATGCCTAACGACCCCTCGTTGGTATCGAGGGACACCTACTGTCAATGCACTTAGTTGTCTGCTGCAGAAGTTCATATTTCAAAACAACTACACAAACAATTCCACTTTTTGTTGTCGTAAACCTGACATGTGCTGCTCTAGTTCCTGCATTATACTCTATGTAAGGGAGGCCGCGATATATAGGTTTATCTCTGCAGCAATACAGAAGGTCAGACGCTTAATTAATTAATTTTGAGTGGCAATGTACGCGCAATAATCTTCACAAAGGAGGCCTCAGCTTTTATATGTGAGCACACAGGACATAAAGCACGCGGATATTAATAGTGTTTTTAAGCCAAACTCTAAGAGAACCTTCCTTAATTTCGGCATTATGGACGAGGTAGGAGTTCCAGAGACACGATAAAGGCCTCAAACTTGCCAAATATGTCAAAGTAAGATTACAACGATGGTGGTTTGCCAAACACTAACGCTTGAAAATTCTTAGGTCAATCACTCTTCATCCTAAGATGATGTGAGTTGCATCATAGTGTGGTCCACAGCTAAGCTGTTGACTCAATACAAACCGGGTACGAATAAACGAATTTTGATTTAAAAAACTAGCAAGACATTAAAAAACGTGTTCTATAATTAAGGGACACGAACAAAATAAGTTACAAGCTCATATAGATATATAAACCTCAAGCAAATGCGTACATTTAGGTAGGGAGTAGAATTCGCCAAAAATCTCAAACGTTCGTCTGAAAGTAGAGGTATATTCTTTTTGTCGGCGTTCGCATATGCACATTGTTACTTAGAGGGGAATTGGAATCCAATGTACCGTAGTTGTACCAAACAGATAGTCATTTCGTACTGAAAACTGATTTTTAGCGATCTGCATTGAAGTTCACTTGCATGTCAACATTCCAGAATGCTTGGCATATCTTGTAAATATGTTAATATCGTTTAACTTTACAGATCCACTAAAGTCATTCATCGTTAAAAATGCGAATTACGTAGTGTAACATGAATTATCCTCGTAAATTAGTCAGCCCAAACGACCATAGTTTTGACCTGAACTATGTTTGATATGTCAAAACAACTGCACAAATGCCAAATCATAGCATTCTTCTCCTTGCGACTGCGACCATTCGAGACAACTAACTCACATGATTTTCAAACCTTCACACATTTACGGACGTATTTCTATGCAAACAAAATGTTTCTGCTGTATATCACATGATTCAATATAACAGCTTTTGCCATTTTCTACTTTGGATTGACTGCCCTGTATAAGGTCCGCAAGGCACAGAAAACGTTTTTTTTATTATGCAGTTCCAAATTTTGACACGAGCAAATTTCTATGGTCGAGGCCTTTTTCTGCAATTTGCAATTCATGCGTCGTATCCTGCAAGCTGAGGGCGACTTATTCTGCCAATGACATTTATTGAAATCTCCAATTAATTTCGCTTAGTGCTGGCAGCGGCGCCTGACGCATTTAGTTTACTATAAACAGAAGCTGAAAAATGCTATCCTTCGGAGACGACGCTTTAGACAATCAATGAAACTGTTGTCGACATTAATCGTTGTCTTGTGCTCTGCAATATGCGCCCACGGCTGCAGACACTCTGAAGGTAATGGAGTCTTACACTTTACTGTTTATGTAAAATACGCGATAATTTAGAATCTTTATAATTGTTCCAAATGTAAGAAACCAAACAACTGTAAATTGATAAGAGTCGTCTGGTGAGAGTGTTCATTTGAAAAAAAGCATAGGGAACAGAATATGCACTTTAATTTACCCGCAGGTAGAAGGCCTTATCAAAAGATGCACAGACATGTATTTGAAGTTCGCTAAGTTTGGATATTTTTGTAAAGTCTTTAATAATTCCAAGAGGTTTCTAGGACATCTTATGCAACAAATTAAAGAAATTTTCCCATTCTTTGTAAACACATATTAGTTCTTGATGAACTAATTTGACAGACCATGTTAAGTCGTATTAAGTAGCTAGACCCGAAAGTGCCCACTGCCATTTGTGCACTGAATGTTTGATTATCTTGTTTTGTGAATGCGCTTCTGCAGTGGTGATTGCAACTGAAACTAACTACCCGAATGTTTCCAATGCAAATTAGGCAGAGTTTTCTAAATTTAATATCATCATATACACCTAAGATCAGTAGTAAATCTATGGTCACCATCGACTGGTATAATATGCTAGGCGTGAAGACGGATGCGGCACACAATTCCTAAACAGACGAAATCATGCTAAAGTAGAGGAAGCACATTTCAAGTGTTAATAAAAGTTAATTAGTATTATCTAAATAGTGACTTAATAAATTCCAATTTCCGATGGAATAATCGGGAAAAGGAAAGCTTGGAAATCCACAAGTATCAGGCACTTCTGCAAACCAACTTTTAAATATATACTATGTAGATTGATAAGCAATATATTTGTATATGTTTATGTTACAATAAGTAAGTTTAAAGATGCAGACCAATTATGCTACAGTAAGTGGAAGCTAGTTAATAGTGTTATAAAACTTAAGTAAAAATATCTAACTTGTGAGTTCAGATATTGCAGTGTCCGATGCAATAGTTACAGAGAGTGACCGATCTAATGAAATGTTGGCTGAAATTCTAAAAGGCGTTTTCGATTAGAAAGGATTACTTACTCGCGGTTATAATACTGATTATCTTGTAGCATACTCTTATAACATTTCGGACTTGGCAGGATGTCGGCTTTTAAATGCACTTCTTTTCAATCTCCTGTAGAATGCGTGCTCTATATAAATTGTCTTCTTAATACGCATGCATTGTTTCCATTGATTTTCGATGGTCTTGAAAATTCAAATATATTTTATAAAAACCATAAACAAAAATATGTTTTTTGTCAGTCAATAGAGAATCGCGTCTTCTTCATGTTTTATACTCAAGGGAGGAGAATAAATCGATTTAAAAAAGTTTTCTAATTGCGAAAAATGTGGAGCCTAATAAGTCTTTGGATTAGCGATTAGGGATTTCAGTCTACAAGGTGCATTCGTTCCGCGTAAATAAAATCACATATTTTTCTATGCCATTAAAGAGAAAACATACAGAGGCCATACAATTTTCCTATGGATGCGGACCATGTTGTACATGTCATGATGAGCAGTGGTAAATGGCCAGGTACCATGCTATGTGAATTGACATATAGCGGTCTTAAAAAGTATCATAATTAAAAAAATGTTTAAAACCTAATTATTCTCCCTTCTTAAGTAGAGCTATAAAGAAAACGTGATTATCTATTGATTGATTGAAATAATACAAATTTTTGTCTATGGTTTCGATAAAATATATTTGAATTTCCAAGACCACCGAAAATCAATGGAAAAAATGCATGCTATTGAAATAGTCATTTTTACCGGGTACGCTTTCTACAGGAGATTGAAAAGAAGTGCATTTAAAAGCCGACATTCTGCCACGTCCGAAATGTTATAAGAGTATGCCTAATCTAAAACGCATTTTAGAATTTCAGCCAGCGTTTCATGAGATAAGTCTGACTGTAGATAGAGGAATGCTTGGAAATGGACAATTATCAGTCACTTATGCAATCAAAATGTAAAATAAATGCTATAGAGCCTTATAATTAATATATGTGCATAAACATAGGTTGCATAATGCAATGGGCTTGTTGCATAAAGTGTCATATAGCCTGTGAGAGTAAAGACAGTTTTTGTATGACCATTTGGACTTGTAAAAATATACACATTAACAACGCTTGTCGTTGTACGTATTGCATAGCCGAAACATTTGAAAATTTACTACTCGGTTTTCCAGTCTAAAATGGACAAGTACATACTGTAAAAACGCTCGGACAGAATAATCCCTGTAAATAATTTGCCAGCCTGGTCGGTTGGGCGCAGTTAACTGAGTTCAAAGATTAGAACATCATGCCATTGCTTGTATTCTTATTTCGAGATATCGACAATACTAATCCATATTTCAATATCTAGAAGAAAAAAAGGAATACATTTTTTTCACCATCCGATTCTTTGCTAGCATACCACTTCGATACTATTATGATGACCACGGTCGCTTCCTCGACTGTGTTTGCCATATAGAGTGACCAGTCTTAGCGTTAACCTGCAGATGACAAGGGGATTTATTGTTAAAATATTAATTCATCGTGTTTTGTAGAGTCAATGAAATGCAAAAACGATGGCATAGATCATTATTATCTACTTCAACGGATTCCGTCAGGCATTTGGAGTATACATCATAGTCCAAACACCTTCACTCGGATGCGCCTGCAAGTGTCAGACGATCGTTTCATTGTTGGATGTTCTCGGTTAAATAGTCAGCCGAGTTTAAATATGACAATTGTGTGTAAAATTTACTTTCCGTATATAAGCTATTCTTTGGTGCATTCGGTATGTTTAATAAAATATACATAATTATGGACTGCAAGTTAGTTAGCTGTTTTCTTCTGTTTCACAATTAGTTGAAATTGAATTTAGTAGGCAAAAGGAGATTATGCTATGTAATGTAGCTTCTTTAGTTAAATGTTGCATCCGCTTTCGAAAAATTATGTTTTTTTTCTTTTCTATAAAGACAGAGCGGTTGTTATTTGGAATGCGTGAACTTTTGACATTATAACTAAACCTGATTCTGCAAATTCCTTGAATCTGTTACATATTCAATGACAACTTGGCTTTTTGCAGTGCATTGTTTAACCATATGCAATGTGCTTAGAATTTAGAGGGCTGTTCGCTGACATCCGACGAGCCCCTCAAGGAAGAAAAAGCCCTGGAAATTCGAGCAAAGAGCATCAATGCTCCGGCTACATTAGAGTACAGTGCAGAATGCGGAGTCATTTGGAACAAATTCCGTTTGCGTCTTGTTGATGTTGACTTTTACGATCTGGAAGCGGCCGTCTTCCATGCACTTTCAACAAGAACAGGAGAAGCTTTAAGTGCTTGCTCAAATAACTCCATATTACGTCTTCCAACGTACACAAAGTTAGCCTTCCGTAGCAGGTCATGGCCTAGTTGTTCTCGTGAAGCTCTGCGTGACCTGGTCACCCACACAAAAACATTTGCCTGTTTAGAAATAGAGACATTGCTGCAAATGTAATTTTGAATGTTCAGTACTGAGCAATAAACGTTTGACAGTCACTTCATTCCCTCCTTTGATTAATGTATGCCCAAATTTACGAACAGAGTGTTTTATGGAATTTAAATTTCAAAGTGATTTGAATTCAACGGCTCATTTGGCTACGTATGAAAAATAGTTTCTGCTTGCAAACAACGTCTGCATGCCGAAATGTACACTGGTAAGAAAAAGACAAGCGCACGAGATCAATATTTATGCATGATTAAAAGGAAGTGAGCATTGTATGAAAGTGTTAAGGCATACAGATTGAGTTTTGTAAATTATCAATGACTAAGTTGTGTGCCTGCACAGAACTCTCTTGGATACTTTATTTTATCTATAGCATCAATAAAGAGATAAAGGAAGTGTCATTGTATAAAGGATTTTGAGATACACTTTGGAGTGCTTAATTTTAAGTGGACATCATCACTGCGCCATTCCTTCGATTATTTTGATGACGGTTTTCTACGTTGAAATATAGTTACTTGTGTAGCATGTACAATTATTTTAAAAACATTGGCGTTGGTGCATATTGTTTGTTAACAGTGACAATCAGGTCACATGTTTACGTGCTCCGTATTAGTGAATTCAAATCAGCAATACGAAATTAACTTTTTTTCGAATTGATATTGTTTGCGGTAGCATTTAACTCTTAGTTCAGCAGATTATGTACGTCACTCACGTGCAGTTAAGGTAGCATCAAAAGTTATATTTTAAGTGCAAACCACTTTCAACGCAAGTTTTTACTAATTTAATCAGAAGGGAAACTAGCTCCATATTCGTGTACGCGTGCTATTTATAAGTGATGTTGATGTTCGTCCAAAAGACCCAAGTTAATGAGTGTTGATAAGATGATAAGGGAGTGTTATTTCTAGAGAAAATAGAGTACGATGAAAAGTCTTCGATATGGGAATGTAAGAACAACACTAGAATGAGTTTACACAATACGACAGAATACAAAGACTGTTGCGAACCTCATAGCAAACAGTTTGGACATTGCTAATAGACATTCTGCCACTCGGCACCACAGACACAACCGATGGTTCTTGTCATCCACTTTGCAAATGCTAGCCAAGGCAAGTTATGACGACCTGGATGCCTGTGAGCATGGCCGTTCAATCCACAACGGCAACACTGTCGATCAATGCATGTTGTCTCCCTTTAAAATTTTAAACAGGGGGGATTTTTACAAGAATAATATCTCAAAGGTCTAAGAAATACCATGTTTTTAGAAGGCACTTATGAAACGCTTATTTCTGCTCCTGTTTTTTTCCAAAGTCATCTGCTTGGCATGAGGCTTTTACTGCTGCGCCAAATTTTAGAATATTTTCCAATGTGCTTCTGCGCATGGGACTTTGTTTTGGCCGGAAATTTCGATGCTCAATCCTTCAACAATGAGATCCCTTTCCCGTGACACGCATTGCATATATAGTTGAGCAATGTCATAATCTGTGTTTTCTTTCCGCAGAGGTGAAGTAGAATTCGAACAATCTCACTGGGTTTTGATCAATCAGCGGTGTTTGTGTTTGAATATATGACGCCTTCACGATCATATTTTGCACTTGAAGTATTGAGTGCGTTTCAATTGATTTGTTGCCTTTTTGAGTCCTGCGCTTGTCCGTGAAACATATTTCAAGAAGTATAACATTCAGTTTAACATTGCAGTCTTTTCAATTCGGCTGGCAAAATTATAATTCATGTGTCAATCGTTTCTTTCCTTAAGGATTATCACTGTAAGCTTAATGCCATTTGCGAGCATAACACACAAATTTTTAACACATTATTTCTGCTCGCGGTTACATAAAAGTGGGTTTACATTGTCAATTATAAAACTAATATTTATTTTAAAGCGTAATTCTCGTTTTTTAGGGGAACATTAGGATTCCCTAAACAGAACATTAATCCCACATTCCGACAAGTGTAAAATGGCGTCCTCTGATTAAGCAGGAAAGTAGAGTTAACCCCTTATCTTACATTGTGGAACGAATCTTCGGCACAACATAGAGTATAATGTGTTAAGTTGCTTACATTTGATGATCTTCGTATCCCTGTGAATCTTTAGATTCTATTGTGACGTGATTCTGCATAATCAACTTGTGAATTCAAACAGACAACGGCCGCTTTGCATATGGCATCCAAGGCAAGTTAATACGGCGTGCATACGTGCAGTGATGGCCGCTCAATCGACAGGGGCGTTTTTTTTTCTTAAGTACAAACTTGTCTCCCTGCCTGGTGTTAGCCATAGTGCTTTTCGCTAAGCTTCTTTCTCGCAAATATATACATCCATTAGCCTGTAGCAATCTGCACTACTAAAACGTGTTCTCACTTGTAGGATGTGACATCTATAATACGCATTTAAAATTGTGAAATACAAAGTGAAATATATAATGCTACATAGCCACCAAACCCGTTTGCGCTGACTTTCACCAAAGCCGTTTTTCCATCGAATCTTTTTACAAAAACGCTCAAATTCACCGACGCAGCCAGATTAGTGTTCAAATTAGTAAAATTCCACCTGACACATAAGGCAGCGTAGATGCCACATTTGGTTATTTTATTTCGGGTTGTTAGGTTCTGATAGACAAAATATCCGTCGTTCGCCTAGCGAAACTAGGACATAAGAGAGTATACAACGAGTGACACTAAAGGAGACAGAGCCTAAATAACAAAGGCTCCATAAAAAAGTCAGTTAAACTTAGACGATGTCATGCATATCACGTTTACCAGAGGGCGATATATGTTAAGCTACAGGTCTAAACTAGTGAACATGTGCACTGTTAGGCTTTCAAACCGACGACTTCTACTAACAAAACTTAGGTTTGAGCTAATATTTGTACTGTCTGAATACTCGGGCAAAAACCTTTGTAGGACACACATGCTAGCAGAGTCTCAATCTTTCAGGGAATATTACCGGCCATAATTTGAAGTGAAATATGCATAGCATTCGCCGATTAGAAGGAACAACAAAATAAACGATGCAATGAAATACGTGTTGTTAGAACTTCGTTCAAGCGCACATCGGCAGCAGAATTCATTATATGTCCTAGATGGTTTTACAGCTACGTCCGAAATGGGAGAAAAGAAGGACAAATTCACGCGTCTAATTGATAGCCTCGGGAAATTCCTAGTTGAAGGGCCACAGAAAAAAGCCATTATTCTCTTTGACAATTTCGCCCGTTTTTTAAGGTGGAGTCTTCAAAAAACAATCCGGAATTTAGAATCGGCTAAGCAAGTCAAGGATTCGAATGGGAATCATGATCTTCACGGTCAAAAACGAAAACCTCTGTTCGGTCACGTTAACCAAGAGGAGTCGTCTGGACCCGAGCGAATAAGAAGAAATTTATGTCACACATGTTATAAGATCCGTATTGCACCTGGCAATTGGTCGTCAATCAAAGAGCACATGTGCAATTCCTAGCTTCTTGCTTAATACGTGTCCTTCCATCTTCAAGTAAACGCACTTTATGAAACGAACTTAGCTGATTAAAAACCACAGCGATAAAAATATCCTTGTCTACCGGCTGTCCACAGGTTGTCTACTGGACACCAGCTGGCTTCTCTAAAGGCCTACGCCAACGGATACTAACAATGGTCGGGGCAGTAGCTATCCGTTCAGCGAATCATGTTTTATGCCTTCAGAAAACCCGGCACAGGCGCTTTCTGCCGTGGCTAACGCCAATCCCAAGTTATGAAGCCATGCCGCCTCAAATCCATAATCACGATGATGGGTACTCTGTGTACTCAATCCAAGAACATCGCTCAAAGACTCAATTACCCCCTAACTTAGCTCTGAGGACGAACAACCGCCGACCTTGTCATGCGGGCGGCGTAAGGATGATGAGTTTTAGTGACTTAATAGCCCTGCAAACATGCATAAGCATTACTGATATTGCACATGTTCACTCCTTCATGTAATTGTATTGTCCTGCCGAAAAATTACCGAAAACACGTGTTTTCCAGCTTGACTTTTCAAGTGTCACATGGAAATATTTGCGGACCTTGGACAAACGATTATTGTCGTTGACCTGGACAGCCAACGGTACGAAATTGCACTCCAAAATGTCGTCTGAGTGAAAGCTTAACTGTGAACATGTTCACTATTTTGAACCTGCATCGTGATACGTATCGCCACTTTTGGTAAGAGTGGCATGCATGACCTCGTCTAGGCTTAACAAAGTGCTTGTTGAAGCCTTTTGTGATTCACATTCTGTCTCCCCTAGTGTCACGTCTGGTCCACTGTCTTGAGCCCCAGTTTCGCCAGACGAACGACGGATAGTTTGTCTATTAGAACCTGGCAACCCGAAATAAAACAACCACGTGTGGCATCTACGCTGCCCTAAGTGTTGAGTGGCATTTTATTAAGTAGAACATAACTTTGGCTGCGAATGTGAATTTCAGCGTTTTTTGTAAAACATTCGATGAAAAACGGTTTTGGTGGAACCCAACGACAATAGGATTGGTTGCCATGTAGCATAATATATGTTATCTTTGTATTTCGCAAACTTTAAATGCATATTATAGATATCATATCCTACAACCGAGAACATATTTTAGTACTGCAGATTTTTGCAGTCTAATGGATGTATAGACTTGCGAGAAATTAGCTTAACAAAAGGCACTTTGACTTAGACCAGAAAGGGAAACAAGTTTGCACATAAGGAGAATGCTTCCGCTGTTAATTGAGCGCACGTATGCAGGGCGTCATAAATTGCCCTTGAGGCCATATGCAAACGACCGTTGTCTGCTTGAATTCCCAACGGGATTATGCATAATCTGATCACGTTAGAAACTATCGATATTCGCGGATACCAGTATCCTAAAATTTAAGCAACACAACACATTGTATTTTATATTGTGCGGAAGATTCGCTCCAAAATATAAGAAAATTTGATGATTATACTTACCTGGTTAAGCAGTCTGCGCGCATTAAGCTGTTGGACATTTGTAGCCCATGTGTTGTTTAGGAAATGTCAATGTTTTCT